TCCGGTTTCATTTTCAAAGTGCGGTCGGTCGCACAATGATCTTAGATGTGCTAGTAATATTTGCAAAAATTACCGTAAATCAACATTTATTGTCTAAGCTAATAATATTTTTCAATTAAAAAATTTAATATTAGAGGATAACGAACGATGGCAACTTGGCTCACTTATTAATATGGATTGATGCTTTGATATGTTCATAAACCGTAATAAGTTCAAAAGAACAAAGTCGTATCTTGAAAATAAATGTCAAATAACCGTAACGATTCATCCCAGACATACAATCTCACCTATCGGTAAAATCGCCCGATGTGATGTTCAGTTTTGGAAATATTGGAAATAAAACAACGTTACGTTATAATACAAACCTGGTTTTTGTTCTGCGTTTCGTCGACATTCCCTGCCATTGCTGAAGCAATATAGAACTAGACAAATCGAACAACTTTGGCGCAAATTTTTCTTGAATCTTGCGATAATTTTCTACATAACCAAATGGACTCATTTCTTTTTTAGGCGTTTTCAACATTTTAAATTTGCATTAGGTATTGATGGCAGTGCTATGCAACTAATTAAATGATACGTCCATCAATGAGACTTTTAAAAGCTTTTTATTTCGAATAGAAGTATCGTTTAATACGTAAACTAACTAAAGGCTAATGTGATATTGCCTATACAAAGTACAAAATCAGAATGTGGACCCATTGCTGGGAGTCTTATTTATAGGTTATTTAATTGTTAATTAATGTTGTCTAATAAACATTCCTATTTTAAGTAGACGTCTAATGTGGTTCAGGATGAATCACATTTGCTAATGTTTACCAAATATGCAACAGGAAGCTAATGTTGTATCATTCCACGGTGGGTTTATATATCGTAAAAACTAGTTCTCTTTGTGGTGATGATTTTTGGAGATGGTTTCGATCTTCTCTAGAAAATTAACTATAAATTTAGGTACAACTCTACAACTTAGGTAACTTCTAGTCTTATTCTCAAGTGCCTAAACGTAAAAAATTATATAGCATTAAAATCAGTATTCAATGAAAACGGAAACTTTTGAACTGAATAACTGTTTACCATTTTATGTACCGTACGAGCAACATTTATTGATATCCATGAAATGTATATTGTCAAATAGAAAATGTTTTTGTGCAAGAATCGACAACAAATACTTTTTTTTCACTGCCATAATTGATATTTGATTCTGAAGAAGTATCGTAACTCACAATTCACTCTGTCTTTTTACAGTAGTTTTTCAAACTCTAACAATAACATTTTTCACAAGAAATCGGGATTGAATTGAACAAATCAATTTATTTGAAAAAACCTTCGTGAATTGAAATTGATTTTGGTTCGTGGAATAAAACAGCTTAAAGCAAAACTAATGGAAAATTAGATCTGGAATATAGAGAGCAAACCCTGCTAACTACTGACACCAACCAAAATTACTATTATTTTTTGAGTAAGGAAATTATTTTAAAATCAGAACTAAGAATAGAACATCTTAACATTCAATTCTGAATAATTTTTAAATTTTGGCTTTGTTTACTGGATTTTATGTGTAAGGGACTCATCCACTGAAGACCGTGGCGTAATTTTTTTTGGAAAACCACTCACTTCAATTATATACTAACAAATTAATTTGAATCCCTTTTCACTATACTTGATTTTGAAATCATTGTTCCGACTATTTCGTAAAGCACTGATTATCAAATTTAATAATACGTTAATAGCTCGTTAAGCTTGTGTGACACTGATTCAAACAAAATTTCCTTTAATTACAGCAAATGTGACTAATATTCGCATGTCGCCTTAATCCGTTTCATTATCATTTCAGTTTGAATCGTTTTCAAACAAGAATTGAAGCGCTCATAAATAAAATGAAGTATATTTTCCACATTTTCAAGCACGTGTAATATGAAATTGCTTTAGATATTTGCATTCCTACTAATTTCGCTTTCATAAATCAGTTTTGGATTCTGGATAAAACTCCATTTCCATGGTAAATTGGATTTTTCAACAGATAACTATCGCGTCATGAAAACATTTCGAACTGCCAGACCCACAAAGGTATTTTTTCACAATTCCGGTTTGACGCTGCCTTTTTCGGAGTGAATCTAAAATTGTATGTGTATGCTATTTTCAGCAGGCTTCAGCGGTCGGTTTTCGATTTGCTTGGTACTAGCTTTTTAATACAAGCCAGACAGATCTTAATCTGTATTGTAGTCCGTCCTTTCGCTAATGGATCTGCATTACCTGCGTCATTAATTTTAAAGCACTACTAAAATAAATTACTTAATAGTGGTGCATTGCATGGCAAAACTCACTTGCAAAACCCATCTTTCTAGTTCAAGGCCTTATAAAGTCAACAGAAAAACCTGCTCAAGCCGTGACAATTTTAGAGCAAGATTTCCGCATACTGAGTTGGAATCCAACACATAAAGAAACTGCCCTCCCTACCGTTTAAAGGCTATTCAAAAATAATCTGAAACAAGAGTGACAAAGGCTTGGATAATCCGAACAAAAGGCATGGAGACTTCATTAAATAATAGCATAGAGCAGCTTTATTTATGCCCTCTATCCATCACTAGCCTTTACCAATTAAGAACTATTCTTAGTAAAGTGAAACGAGGCAACTAAACTACAAAACCTGGTTGAATATCCCCGCAGGAATTTATCCACATTAGAAGCTCTATTGTTGTTTTTAGAACTTTCCGCCTTGTTTTATGCAGACCCGATAGAGGGTTAGTGATGTTCAGTTTATCAGAGGTGTAGAGCTTTTTGTTTTTGCAACGGTTTAAGGCTGTTAATGATGATTAGTTTTTTGTGGTGTTTACTGTGAAGACAACTATGTATATTTAGTATTTTATTAGGAGGTTCTTGAATGAAATTTTATTTTCGAACAACAAACAAAAAAGTTCTTGGTGTGGGCGTTGCTATTTCAGAACCGTATGGTGCAAAATGACTTTCTTTTCCGCCAAAGCCAGACTTTAGTTCCTTTTTTAATTCCTAAAGGGTTTTTTGTTGGCTTGAAATTATGTAAGRTCTTTTMCCTGACAAATTTTATTAATTRGATTAAATATGTTCTACTATAAGAACCGCTTTAAAATTCGCTGAAACACGCTACTCTTTGAAAACTGCTCTGCATGCAATGCTTTAAAGGTGTGGWCTAACTTAACAGCCCAGAGCCAGAATGACCCATTTCTTAAAGTAGCTCCATTAAACTTTCATATTGTAAATTGGYTTTCTTGGGTTCAGCGTCAGACTRAGCATTATATGGTTTTATATTATTCTGCCCTATTTCAGTTATGATGGGTAATAATATTTCAAATCTATTTTTCTGTTTAGCTTGCTTTTTATTTCATCTAATTTTGCAGTTTGTGGTCCTTTGCGGTTTATTCGTTATGGTTTTCCTCATTACTCGTTTTATTGCAATTTTTTTTCCGCTGGCCTTATTCCAGCATTGCTATTTCCTGTGAGCGGTTTGTTAGATTATTATTGCTTGTAGGTAAATTACACTGGAATTAAACATAAACTAGTGCAATTAAAGAGAGTATAAAAAACACTTTTGTTTTTCCATTTAAAAATTTCATCACGTTTACGTCGTTCCTTCACATACTATAAACCGGCCCTATAACCGCTCTTCCTCCATAAAAGAACGTCCCCATTTGTCTTTTTGTTCAATTCGCGATCTCAGTTTCCTTCCCACATGTACGCTATAAACTCTGCAGTTTGTAATTAATTGAAAACGACTCTGTTTCACCAAAACCATGTCTTTCCTATAAAATTATAGCCTAGAGAGCGGTATTGATACATCTAAGTTGGTTTCGAACAACTGTAATAATGCAACACTTTGTGTCGTGTTATTTGTGTGATTATTCTCGTTTCCTTTTGCTGCGCTGCTTCTTATGTGATTAGTATTATACGAGCATTCAAGCAGGGAAAACAAATTCAATATAATTTCCCATCGTATTAGTTATGGATGTGCATTCAGGTATTTTTATTAATTATTCATACTTGCAATTTGAAGTTCGAATTACATATATCTATTAAAATGGGGAAACATGGTTTTTAATAAAGCTTTAGGATTGATGCTTGTTCATTCTATTAGAAATCTAGCGAATGACTGCTACTTGTCGGAATTTAAATTTACAGTTCGCTGGTTTTGGTTCGACTTATTTCCACCTGTTATACTGAGGCGATGGTTTATATTCCGAAGGAATTTTTTGCAATATTATTATCCACTTTATTTCGGCTAATATGTGCTTCACAGACGCTTTTTGGTCCCCATGTGCTCATATATTTCGAAGTCTATTCGCATACCATCACGATTTAATCTACTGTTCTGTAGATCATACAAAATAAAAATGCTTTTAATAATCAAATTTCATTCTTTATTTGTTTGTATGGATTGTTCAATGTTCCAAAAATATTATTTTTCTTTTATTACGGTTTTTAACTTTAAAGTTCCGATCGTCCTATCTTAAAATCCAATTGTTGGATGAAAATATGTTTGGATTAGGCAGAATAACTTTTTAATTAATTTGTTCTGCAGTGTGGTTTTGCTTATTTATTTCTATTTAATCGCTTTGATATTTTGGACTATTGTGAAGTTTTGGTTCAACATTTCAAAAAATGCTTTCTTTGACTTGAACATTCAATTTATCACTACAAATGTAGCGACATTGTTATCTATTAAGTGATTCCGATTAAACCCGATTTTTTAGTTTCTTGTTTACGTAATTTCTATTTCGAAAGCGTCGCTTAGCTTTCAATAAACAGCATTTAAGGCGACTTGAGTTTCAAGAAGACTGTTCTCTCTAATTGTACTCGTAAATACGTAAGAATGCTGCAGCAAACCTTAAATCGTTCACAATACTTGGGCTGTTTTAAGCTGTAAAGTGGGTAACGTTCTTTTGACTCCTCTTCCATCCGAACTCTAAATTTGGAAATGTGCGGATAGTTTTATATGCGCATGTTGGAAATTCAACAACTGAAAAAACAACTTTCAATGATACATGTATTTCTTAACAAATATTCTGCCTTTTTATTTTTTAAACATTATAGCATAGGTTGAAATCTCCGACATGATAATAATTTATCGCCCAAATCCTCCTTGTCTTCCGAAACCACTTTGACCTCCAAAACCTCCACTTTGGCCTCCAAATCCGCCACCTTGTCCACCACCGCTTTGTCGTCCAAAACCGCCCCCGCTTTGACCGCCAAATCCTCCTCCACTCTGACCGCCAAAACCTCCTTGACTACTTCCTAAAAACAAAGTTTGTTAAAATTCTTTATAGTAATTTATAATTTTCATAACGATGTATCAACATTTTTGGTTTGTTGTTGATTGTTTAAATGAATATTAGTAACCTTGACCTCCAAATCCTCCTTGACCGCCTTGACCGCTTTGACCAAAACCGCCACCTCCTTGTCCAAAGCCGCTATTGCCAAATTGGGGAAGTGCATTAATTGCGGATATAATGCAGAGGATCAGACATGCTAAGAGCATGTAGTTCTGGAAAAAAGTGGTATATATTAAATTGGGGAGAAAAAAATGTTTGAAATAATATTAAGCTTTAAAGCTACAAAAGGAAAGAAGACGCTAAGTTGCTAAGCAAACGATTAGAAACAGTATAACGATTCAAGTTCTTAAGAGATGTTTTGTAAATGTAATTTTAGAAAATTTGTTTTTCATTAACATTCAAAATCCTAGCAAAATGAAAGTGTCTTTTAACAGTAAAATTTATTGCAGTTTAAACTTCTTTTGGCTTGTAGACTCTATTGAGTATAATGTACGAACACCTAAAAGATGCCTTATAACACTGTATGATCGAAATATTATCAAATAAGTGCACTAATCACTTTCGATTAAATGGCCAACTTCTCAATATCAACAATATTCTAATAAATTAGTTTTATCAGTTACCTTATTGCTCTGAGCCATTATTACTTCAACACTACGTCACCTTCCTTATTTTGTTGCACAAAACTTGTCACTGTTATAAAATCCTTTGTTGTGTGACTTTTTATAGCAATATTCCTAAATCGCATATACACGCAATATTTAACTACTTTCGGTTTTAAATAATCCGTCTAGTATTTTGGTGAAAATTCTGAAAATAGTTTATTGATTCCGAAAAAAACGCATTTTGAGTCAATTAGCAAGTAGCAAATCATTACTAAAAATTTGTAAATATTTACCAGTCCAGTGGACGGACACTATTAATTTGCCTTTTAAGAATTTTTCTTTTGAAAGTCAGTTTATCTCAATTTGCTCTAAATGTGTATTGGGCACTCAAATTGACGGTGCTCCATATACTGTCGAAATGCAGGTTTTTCAGTTTTATTCAGATCCGAATTACGCCTAATTTTGAGTTTATAAAATATGTGAACTACACCTCTGCACATCGACAATAACATTGGTACTTAAATCAATTGAACAAATATTGGAAGATCAATATGAGTGATTTCGCGTTCTCTGGGTTTTTTACCCGTACAGAAATATGTAGAAACTATACAATGTGTCCCGAAAATCAATCATAATCAGCTGTATTAAGGTACAAAAATTAACTAACTAAAAACAGAGTAATTTTTGCTATCGACTTTTTAATGAGGCCTGAACTGAGAGCAATTGTATAATGATTACGCTATAGATTAAGGATTAATTATGTTTTAACTTGTTTTGGCGGTCCTTTAATTGGGGTAAAGTTGTATAATTTGCTTAAGAATTTGGAGCTGTTTTGCACGCTACTATTCAAAATAAACCATAATTAGGAAATAAATTTTGTATATTATACTGCAGGAAAACAACACCGCAGTTTGGGAAAATTTATTGAGTAAAGCCCCCTTTGTGTTCGCAACAGCAAAAGCCAAATTGATATTTAGACTAAAAGACCTTTTCTATAAGTCTATAGCTAAAACAATCAACTTTCCCGAAATTTATTTCTGGTTTCAAAAATCTCAACTGCTTTTGAACTTATTGTAAGTTTTATTTTCTCGCAGTTTCTAACAGCAATTTACCACAAGTTCATCATCAACGTTTCTGTTATTATCTGGCGCTCCCAGTATTTTCAGTTTAAAACTTGCAAGGTTGCTTTGCAGCATTCGTTCAATTATCACTTATCACGAAGATCCTGATAGCAGTAGCATATTTCCACAATTAAATTTAATCAATTAAATGATGAGCAATGGAATTTAGCAAGCATTTAATTATTGTACTATTTCGATAATTAAATCTTTTAATAATTAATATCTTTCTTATTTCGGTCAACTTTTTTTTAATAAATCGAGCATTTTTAATCTAATTACGCTATTTTTACATGTAGTATCCAGTCTTGCTATGTTTAGTCTCAATATATTATATTTTTTTGTGTTAAAGAATTGTGTCATAAAATATATAATTGGGTGAAAGTACCCAAGGACTCGCACTATAAGTGAAAATTGCGAGAAAAGTCTCTCATTTTCATTTTATGCTCCAGAATTTCCGTCAGTTTGCAATTAATTGATAATCACAAAAAATAATATGCAAAAAATTATGTTTTAAGTTCATCGCAAATTTTAGACACCCAAATTCCATTGCCAGTATTCAGTCAATAATAATAGGTATATGTGATCTTACATATTCACTGGCTCATATTGTTTTTTTTTATTTAATTGAAAATATGTTTGTAATTTAATAAAGAATAATCATCAGATCAAACTATCTGCAAATTAATTAATTCGACTTAAATTCAATTCTCAGGAACAGTTCAATTCTCAATTCTGTAAAATAAGAACGCAATAGATTTTATTCTGCGCTTTAATCTCTGCACTAAACATCGAACTCCAAAGGGCACAAACATGGATTCCGTTTTGGATTAAACCGAGCGATTTATACTGAAGATTAGAGCGTTGCACTTCCCTTCGTTCAACTGCAGACAACCAATATCTATAAATATCAGCTCTAATCTCTTCCAACCTGGTTTACGTGCCTGGTACACATTTAAGCCACTTTTTTCGATTCGGTAAGGTTATTGGAAAAAGCGTTGTGGAAAATTTAATGAAAATTGGCGTCGAGTAACTAGATTAAAGTGTTTTAAGGCTTTACAGAGGTCAGCGATATGGGGTTAATTAGATCAAGATTAAAAACTCGATTGAATTGTTTTCGCTATATACTTAGCAGATATTTAATTAAATGTTGCATTGAGATTAGTTTTTATTGAGCAGTCTCGCTATGGGATAGTTAATATAGTGCGTTTATGTTCACTTAGTTATAAGAAAGCATCAGCCCTAAGTTTATTTTAAGTGGATGCCGCGAAATGTCCCCCCTCTATTTAGATAGCAGCTTTAGAATCACAGAAATTGTGTTTAAGTACGAATTATTAGTTAAGTCTATTACCTCCAAAAGTGCCTGTCATAGATAAAATGATGGATGAAAATTGAGAGAAGCACAGCCATTATATTGCAATTGTTTCAGTGATGACCTACGCTATCGAATAATATAAATCTTAATAGCTTATTTAGACGCTGCATTTATTTATCTTGTTTCAGCCTCGTCATAATATCGCTTCGTTCTATGTGCTAGCGAATTTTGTTTTGTGGCTGAAAGTAGTTTCTGTTAGAAAAAATAATAAGTCGATTAAGGCTACTGGACCCGAAAGTTTTACCTTTAATATTAAAGTTTTTGGTAAATCTAGGAAAAAGAACGTAATATCAATAATTTCATCCAATTAACATTGTGTACCTATTAGTTTAGTTGATAAATTAAGTTGGCAAATTCAGTTTGAAAATTAAATCTAGCAAATTCTACAAATTTTATATCTCGTGCGCGAATTCTATTTGCTATATGTTCATTCCAAACATAAAATTATGAAAATGTATTTAATGTTATACATGAAGTTTTAATCTGGAAATTTATAAATTAAAATTGTTATAAACATATGCAGTCAGTTTAACTGTTAATAGTTTAGGAAATATATGCTATGAATCAAAGTTTTTTGCAAATTTTCAAATAGTTCTTTCATTACTGGTCAATAAATGGCACATCCCATAAAATAACTTTACATACTACACATTCATAAATTTATAATTCTTGTTGTACTGTGTCCATGTCTACTTACTTCGGACTATTTGATCAGTAAGCTCCTTGACCAATAATTGTCTCTCGTTTTTCATTATATCTAAGTATCTGATTATAATATACACATACTTTTGCTGTGTTTAAAAGTTGAAATTTCACTTTCTTAATTTAATATTTTTTTAGACACAATTGAAAACATGTATTGCTTGAAAATACTGAATGATTTTGAGCCTTCGTTGTTGTAAGAAATACCATCTATTTATCACGGGCTGAAAACTCAAAGGGTTTTTATAAATTATCCTAGCACTTCGATATTTGCACTATCTGTTTACTAGAAAATTTTGTAGCACATTTCCTATATTTAACACATCAGTTATTTCTATGAGAACGTTTCTTTAGTAAAAAGTGTCCGTTACAGTCCTTTGTTAGTTATTGCTATTTTACCACACAAAACTCGATTTAACATTAGATATCTCCTTTTCTGGGAACTTGGTAAAATATAATCTGAATATTCTTTACGGAGAAATTTCGTTAATAACTTCTTTTAGAACGCATATTTTGATCTGTTTACTTCGTGTAATTCATAAATGATCGATAGTTTATCTCGAGTAACCTGAATTATTTTGGACTCGTAGTGGTGGTAAGCATTTGGCGGCCCCCTTTTTCAAGACGTTCCATTAGGAATCTTTGGTCTCCCACATTAACGTATCTTATAGGTTATTATATTCTTTTTCTTCCTGGGTTCCAGTCAAAGTGTGAAATAAAAATTTTTATATCGTTTATTTCATGACGTTTCGGCGAGACAACAGCGCCATAATCAGATTTAAAATCTATACAAACTCATAGTTCGGTTTGTTATATTCGGTTGTTTATAAAGTGGTCAGTTTACTGCTTTGATCAAGCTTCGGTGTGTTAAAATATTGAAATAATCATTTATGTTTTCCTTTTTGAGGAACTTAGGGTTTTTTGCATCCTTTGCGTACTTAGCTGTTCTGTTAACAATTTTGCAAACCGTTAGTAACAAAAATGTATAGAATTTAACAAACATTTGCGAATACTTTAAACAATTTTTGCCTGTTTTCCGAAGTTGTCCTACTGCTGTATAAATGTTACTTTAATAGCTGTTTTCATAGACAATTCTGAGCCAGATTATTTTTTGACTGTCATCAGAGAGTCATATGTTGCAATTTTTAACGATATTTTTAGATTAAATTCATTTTTCTGTCAGGAATTTCTAGCAACTTCTAAGCGCGCCACCAACATATTTATCTACTTGAAGTATTTAGTATAATTTTTACCGCATATGTTTGGATGCTCAAATAGAGCTACAACAGACCCTGCATTCAGTTGGTAAACAACAAACATCAGCCAGCGCCGAATTGACCAGCGAAAATCATTAAATCAATCCATTACTCCACATGAAATCATTTGGTCATGTTTGTGTAATCAATATTGTGTTTTGCCACGCTCTAATCCGAATTTAAGTATCTCTTTATGTTAAAGCGCAGTTTAATTAGTGAGGAAACTACTTTGAGTACAAATTAATTTACAAGCTCTAAACGGATCGTCCGGGCATATTTTTGCAAGCCTCAAAAGTGAGTTTAAGCTGTATGCAAATTGAGGTTTCGTAATTAAACTGTTGATGGTATTTGAAAGCTCCTTAGTGCCCCAAACATATAAATAGCCAGGGAAAAAGTTGCATTAAAGTACCTTAAAAATATTATTAAATATGTCACATAAATAATCATATCCACAATTTATCATAGATATGTACATCATGTGAGTATTTGTGTGAACATTATTTGCTCGATGTTGTTAAATTTGATTCTAATGTCTAGAACTGATTTTAGATGCAGTCTTTAGTTATTTAATTGAAAAGTCGATTATTTTATCAGTAAATTAAAATTATTTTTACTTGTCCTTAGTTCGGAATGAATACGTTTTTAAAACTAGAAAATTAGCATTAAATTATTTGTACTAAATTCTTATGCATGAACTGCATTGATTTTTAAAACCTGGTGTACAAATAGAGATACAAATACAGCATATT